GCATTTCCCTTTACTGTAGTCTAATATAGTGTTTAATACACTATCGATAGTATTCTTAACAAACATCAGGTTCTCTTCACTGAGATTTCTGGTGTCATCAGTGGATCGATGATAGCTATGTCTCATATTCTTCCTCCAGGGGCCCAAATCGGTGATAAGTATGGCCGGGAATGTCATATAACGTTGTGTGGGGTACCAGAAGGAGGCGTGATCTGAACGCATGAATGTCTCGTATTTCCGGAATTTATCCGAAGAGTCCACTTCAGAGCCCAATTCAGGCAATGCCGGTGCCATCAGAGACAGTCCGTACTTGTCTTTGTTCACCCAATTCTTCTCAAGTTTCTCATACAGTTTAGTGTCGATCCCCTTTCGGGCCCAAACAGCCGCAAAGTCACCCCGATATCCGTTTTGCTTCACTTTTGCCGACCACTCCGGCAGAACATTCTGACAGCAAATTATACGACAAAACAATTAGTATAATAAATGTTGTGTCAACCCGTTTCCAAACATTAAAAACACATTAATTTGTACAGAATTTAGCATAAAAAATACTACAGATTAGGAAACATGAATGAATTGAATAAAGATAATAAATAATTACAGCAATTATTCCCAACGACTGACTGTTTCTCGTGGAGTCGTGCTCTAAAATCATGTCCATAACGATCACTGCNATACAAAAATTGTAAAAAATGCTGTTTTAAGAAAACAAGATTTATTATTTCTAAGATCCATAAAACATTAAACCTTTGAATAGTCTACCTATCACTGCAATGGTCTGCATCTTTGTGTTCAAAGTGTTCATTTCTTGAGAAAGTATTTAACGGCTTTATATTTAATCATCAATTTTCTACTTTTAATTACACTAAATAAATGTTAAAAATACAGTTATCTCGTGCCGTACTTTTATTGGAAATAATACACTTTATAACTGTAAAAATAAAATAAAATATAGCATAATTTAATGCATAAATTATATTAGGGGGCAAACACTATAAATTGTAAAACTAATTTTCAATTTGAAAATCTCATCGACCCTGGTGTTTATGGCAATGTATGTGTTGGCTGTCTATACCGAGATCATTGAGCGGACAGAAGATAATTATGTGGGACTCGAGAGACCGATAGTCATCGCTTACTATAGGTTTGCATCAAAAAGCACATCCAAAATGACAACCTATTGGCGAAACCGAATGCAAATCATTTCCAATGACCACAAAGACCTCATATTTGCCGTTTCAGACGCGGATCAGTTCAACCATCAACTCATTGAATATGGCTTTCACTTCAATTGCAAGAATCGTCTTGAATCTGATGCCATTGTAGTCGCCGAAGACGCCAATGAAGTCCAATATGTGTTGGATACCAAACTGGACACCAATTCTTTGTCAAAATTAATCAACAAATTCAAAGATCAAGAGTTGAATCCACACATAATCGGCATATGGCCGGGCACTCGCCGGGGAACTCCGTCCGATCAGATCATTATCATAGGCGCTCATTACGATACGGTTCGCTCGTCACCGGGAGTCGACGATAACGGTTCCGGTTCAGCGGCGGTGCTCGAGATGGCCAAACTCATCGCCCAAAACAATTGCAAATTAGATAAGACTATTATATTTGTTCTCTTCGATATGGAGGAAGACGTGAGTCTATTATTAAATGAGTGACAAATTGTTGTTGTTTTGCAAATCATTTCTTATAATAAATGATTAATCAAAGGGTTTGAAAGGAAGCAAGTATTTCGTGAAAGACTATCTGATTCCCGTCGAAGTGATCCAAAACGGAGCCAAAGTGATTGCAGTGATCGTTATGGACATGATTTTAGAGCACGACTCCACGAGAAACAGTCAGTCGTTGGGAATAATTGCTGTAATTATTTATTATCTTTGTTCAATTCATTCATGTTTCCTAATCTGTAGTATTTTTATGCAAAATTCTGTACAAATTAATGTGTTTTTTAATGTTTTATTACTAATTGTTTTGTCGTATAATTTGCTGTCAGAATGTTCTGCCGGAGTGGTCGGCAAAAGTGAAGCAAAATGGATATCGGGGTGACTTTGCGGCTGTTTGGGCCCGAAAGGGGATCGACACTAAACTGTATGAGAAACTTGAGAAGAATTGGGTGAACAAAGACAAGTACGGACTGTCTCTGATGGCACCGGCATTGCCTGAATTGGGCTCTGAAGTGGACTCTTCGGATAAATTCCGGAAATACGAGACATTCATGCGTTCAGATCACGCCTCCTTCTGGTACCCCACACAACGTTATATGACATTCCCGGCCATACTTATCACCGATTTGGGCCCCTGGAGGAAGAATATGAGACATAGCTATCATCGATCCACTGATGACACCAGAAATCTCAGTGAAGAGAACCTGATGTTTGTTAAGAATACTATCGATAGTGTATTAAACACTATATTAGACTACAGTAAAGGGAAATGCCATAAATGACAGCAATAGCACTGTATTATTAATTTGTCAATTTTATAACTTTTATTTATTACAATTATTACAATAAATTTGTTGTACTGTATAAATTACACTTTTATAACAAGATTTATTTATATTGTTTACAATTTTACCATACTTATAATGTTAGCGTAGTCTACTATAACTATAAGACTAAGTTAGCAAACTCTGAAAATCAATACTAAAACTAGTAAATTATAAGCATAAATATTAATATTAGCATCTATAGTTTAATGAACTGGAGGTATTTTTAACATAAATTTTAAAAAGTAAAATGTTATTGGTTTTTAATTAAAATGAATTTTATTTAATGTATAAATTTAGTATTTTATGCAATTAATCACATTTTATATTACATTACTATTTATTTAAATCTAACGAATAATATCTAATAATATCAAAGGAAGTATAAAATGTATTGTATTTAGAAATAAAATTACTAAATATGTGACAAATGTAAGAAAATAGCATAAATAGGTCTAAAGATTTAAGCAAGCTAAGTAAGCAAAGGTTTGGTCGACATGTGAGCGATATATTGGATTAACTGTCGGACAGTTCGCTCACCGGAATAGACGATTGGATTGAGTGTCAGTTGAGGGCAACCAATAGATTGTAGGATAACTGAATGTCTTAAACGGTTTAGGGGTCCAGTTCTTCGTCACTTCCATCTGAAGAATGTCTACATTTGGCTCATTTGCCATCTGTTGGCCCAACTCCTGCCAAACGGGTAGCAATTCGTGACAGTGTCCACACCAATGGGCGTACATCAGGATCACCACATCCTTCTGGTGGTCCAAAACCAACTTTTTCAATGTCTTTCCGACCACTTCTATGACAGGCGTTGTATTGTCCGGAATTGGTTCGCTCTTAATGTGTGGATTCAACTCTTGATCTTTGAATTTATGGACAAATTTTGACAAAGAATTGGTGTCCAGTTTGGTATCCAACACATATCGGACTTCATTGGCGTCTTCGGCGACTACAATGGTATCAGATTCGAGACGATTCTTGCAATTGAAGTGAAAGCCATATTCAATGAGTTGATGGTTGAACTGATCCGCGTCTGAAACGGCAAATATGAGGTGTTTGTGGTCATTGGAAATGATTTGCATTCGGTTTCGCCAATAGGTTGTCATTTTGGATGTGCTTTTTGATGCAAACCTATAGTAAGCGATGACTATCGGTCTCTCGAGTCCCACGTAATTATCTTCTGTCCGCTCAATGATCTCGGTATAGACAGCCAACACATACATTGCCATAAACACCAGGGTCGATGACATTTTCAAATTGAAAATTTCAATGTAATTGTAAATTAGTTTTACTATTTAACGTGTTTGCCCCCTAATATAATTTATGCATTCAATTATGCTATATTTTATTTGATTTTTACAGTTATAAAGTGTACTGTATTATTTCCAATAAAAGTACGGCACGAGATAACTGTATTTTAAACATTTATTTAGTGTAATTAAAAGTAGAAAATTGATGATTAAATATAAAGCCGTTAAATACTTTCTCAAGAAATGAATACTTTGAACACAAAGATGAAGACCATTGCAGTGATAGGTAGACAAAGGTTTGATTTTTGATAGATCTTAGAAATAAGAAAACTTTGTTTCTTAAAACAGCATTTTTTACAATTTTTGTGTCATTTGGAGAATCGGCTCATTTTTGTGAAATATTTATACAAAACCAAAACTAAATATCTTTCGGTTACCGAAGAATTGATAACACAGTCGAAGACAACTATTTGTTCATTAAAGACCACTTCTGGCTCCTGGAGTACACCGACGCTGAGATACGGACAAAGACCTGAAGATAGCCGACACGAGTCTACAAAGCAATTGGTTTACTGACGGGTCGATGGCTTTCTGTATTGAGTACGGGAATGAGTTTCGGACCGGACTTGTGGTGAGAATGAGATTGATTTTTATATTTAGTAATAATTATAAAATGTATTCGAAATTGTCATTCATTGCAGTCATCACTCAGTATAGTGCAGCAGAGTATGGTGGTCGTATAAGCAATGCTTATTTCACATACGAAGTTTTTAGAAAAATGTATCAGTGCACTGATTAAGCGCAAGGTATAAGAAAATAGTGCATTCAAATATATACAGTGTTGTGCCGCATGCAGTGTACACTTTAATGTGCAGATTTTTTTTGTGCGCCAAACGTATTTACCATTGATTCTCACTAACTGTGTCAAACTTTTATTAATAAAACTAAGACACAGTTAGTGAGAATCAATGGTAAATACGTTTGGCGCACAAAAAAAAATCTGCACATTAAAGTGTACACTGCATGCGGCACAACACTGTATATATTTAAATGCACTATTTTCTTATACCCTGCGCTTAATCAGTGCACTGATACATTTTTCTAAAAACTTCGTATGTGAAATAAGCATTGCGTATAAGTGATAAAACCTTCTTAGGACAAGGATTCATTGTTTTGGTGCAATCCAACCAAATCATCAAATATTGTTATAAATCACTGGACAAATCTAAAGCAAAAAATCAGGTCATACATTACACATTATTTTTAATATTAAGCAAAACCTTAATTGATATCCAATTAAGTATTACTTTATAACTCTGATTGTCTGCAGCACTTAATAACCACAATCCCTAATTTACTTATTATTTTCTTGCATTTGAATTGAATAGTAAATATTCTTCAATTTGTATGTTTAATGCAAACCCGGGGATCTAAAAGTATTGATTGACTGTCCAGTAAGCTCTTCAGTAACTCAATGGATTATTATTACGATTTTGTTCATCAGTATTATTGGATCACTTGGATCTATAAAGTACACAAAGGACTAGGTTTTGCACAAACAGACAATTGAATATAAAAATAAACTTTTAATAAATGTAATATTGCTGTCATTTTTAAGACAATCAAGTGTTAATCGTAACGTACCCGCAGGTCAGCACCGGTTGAGTACTTCATAAGATTTTCAATGATAACATTTTATTTGTACTTTTTAACAGTTAAGTCTAAACTTCCAAAGGAAACTGAAGTTACTGTTAAGAGTACTATGACTAACCCTTGAAAAACTAAAATGGTTCATTTTGTTGTCATTTATTTTCGACAATTGTGGATTTGTTTTTTGCATTGTGGATTTTTACATTTGCTATTTATATTAAATATGTAACTATATATTTTTATTATATTGTAAGCCACTTTTATCGGTCCTATATATACTGTATATGTATTAATTTTTACAAAATAAACTCTTACATTGAAAATATATGAGTACATTAATATACAGTACTATATCTCATTTATATCCAGAACTTACAGAACCTAAGCAAACATTAGAATAATTTTGATATATTATATTATAATTTATTTAAATGGTTTTTAATTATTATTAATGGTATTTAAATTTATTATAAGATAAATGATTCCCACGGATTTACAGATTTATGCCTAGATATATCTTGTAAGCACATCTAAAACATAATAATCCCATAAAATGTGAGATTATTGTTTATTAAAATGTATAATAACATAAAAAGTTTATTAAGAAATACAAGTTAGTCATGGAATCTATATTTTTGGGCCAAATATGCCATAACTTATTGTTTGCAAACTTAATTAGTGTTATCTTCAGCAATGATATGGCATTTATAGGTAAATAAATCCCATTTGAAACAAAACATAACTCAGCGCTAATTCGCAA